CGGTCCTCCCGCTCCCCCAGGTCCCCGCCCCCAGCCCCGGCGCGGGCGGCGCCGCGCCCCACCTGCTGGCTGCAAGCGTCTTGGCTGACTTGCGCGGCGGCTCTGGGGAGGGCTTCGGGGAGAACTCGGGGGAAGCTCTGCGCGCCTCGTCCGGTTCCTCCGGCCCGACCCTGGGCTCAGAGCCGACCCCGGCCTCCAGCGCGGCGGAGATCTCCGGACCCGCGCACTCCTCCGGCGCGCTCGCGGTCCCCGGAGCGCCTGCCGTCCCCGGAGCGCCTGCCGTCCCCGGGGTGGTCCCCGGCGAGGCCCCTGGGGCCTGCCCCGCCCCCGCCACAGGTCCAGTGCCCCGTCGGAGGCCGGTGACACCTGCTGCCAAGCGCCATCGCTGCCCCTTTCCGGGCTGCAACAAAGCCTATTACAAGTCGTCGCATCTGAAGTCCCACCAGCGCACCCACACGGGTGAGCGCCCTTTCTCCTGCGACTGGCTCGACTGCGACAAGAAGTTCACGCGCTCCGACGAGCTGGCCCGCCACTACAGGACGCACACGGGCGAGAAGCGCTTCTCCTGCCCCCTCTGCCCCAAGCAGTTCTCCCGGAGCGACCATCTGACCAAGCACGCTCGCCGCCACCCAGCCTATCATCCCGACATGATCGAGTACCGCGGGCGCCGTCGCACTCCCCGCGTCGACTCGCAACCCACCGGCATGGTGGACAGCTCCAGCTCTGTCCCCGGCCAGGCGCCCAGCCTCACCACCTGCCTGTCTGACAGTCATTGCTGTTAATCGTCCCAGCAAGGACGAGCCCCCAGGCCGTTGTCCCTGCCTTTTCTTTGCCCATCCCTCTTTTCCCAGAGTCATTAGACCAAGGCACAAGACTGGTTCCTCCGCTTCGAGGGTCGGTCCAGGCAGGCACGTTGGACCCTGGGGAGGGACTGGGGGCCCGAAAATAGCAGGAATTCTTACAACACGTATATCAACCTAAAAAGGAGGGTTGCCTCAAGACAGCCCCCTGGAACTGGTGAGAAGGGGTGAACCCCGGTACTCTCCAGAGTCCTGAAGAGTCTCCCTTCCCTGGAACCAGAGACGTGAAACTGGAATTCTCAGGTGCCTGAGGAGCTCCCAGTCTCAAAGGACTCTGTGTCTTACCCACCCACCAGGGCGGACCTTGGAGAGGGTATCAGGGGTGGCAGTCTTGGAAATGTCCAGGACTGGGATGGTGAGAGGCCTTTGGAAACAGAAATGATTTCTATTTCTGTAAATAGCAATGTTTACTAATTTATTTTTAGTATCTTTTAAACAGGGATCCCAGGTTGATGGGAGGTTGATGTCCTCCACTCCCCAATTGCCCCAGCTACCTCTGCTAGGAGAGGCCATGTAAGAGTCCATGTGAATGTATGGCTGGGAGATACTTCTTGGTGTCTGGGGAACGGTGTGAGTCTGTTTGCAGGTCCTGTTGCATGGTTTGGAACCCTCCCCTTGCGTCCCTCCGTCCCTCCGTAGCCTTTCTTCCCATTTGGATTCCTACTTGGGGAGGGGAACTTCCTGGCTCACTCTCACAGTGAGATTGGTTTTTAAAAATTTGGAAACAACCATAAAAACACCAGAAATAGAAGAGTGGTCTGGGCCAGTTCTCCTTTCACCCTCTGGTGACTTTGGGTGAGATAGGTCCAAAACAAGACCTTTCAGGATCATTGTTAACATTCAGGGAAATAGGGGCATGTGGTTCCAGCTGCCCAGTCCAAGTAATCTCAGGTGTGGTAGATTCTGTTCATTTCTTAGTGGCCAATGAGGGGCTTATTTCCCTTGGGAACTGTGCATTTTTGTTTTTGCAGCAAATGAGTTGATTGCTTGGGGAGGGGAAGATGAGAGTGGCTTTCTCCAAAGATCTGGTTGCCCTGGATTTGGGGAAGGAATAGCAAGGTGAAAATTTTTATCAAATAAGAGGACCCTTCTCCCTTTACCTTGAAGTCCCTCCAAGTTACACCCTCAGGACCCCTCTGCCCGTAATGCAGGAATCAAGCATCAGCAGTATTTATTTTTCTATGTGTATCTCTGCTGCTATGAATGAAGTCGTCGGCCACTCTGCTTATGTGTGTGTGAATGTATATACATGTGACCCTTTTACGAGAGGTGGGGCTGAAAGGAATTTCCTGCTCCTGGTAAGGTCCCTGTGGCCCCCTCCTGAATGTCTTGTAATAGTCCATCCATCCCATTTGTGGAGGGTGCCATAATCTCAAAGGACTGCAACAGGCATCTCGGTAAACAAACTGCTTCCCCCTGTTTTGCAGATGAAGACACCGAAGCCTAGATAAGTTTAAAGTCTCATGCTGAGTTGCTGGCAAAAGCCAGGACTAGAACTTAGATATCTGGCTTTCTAAGTGACTCTTTCCCTCAGGCTTAGTTACCTCACCTCCTCTCTCTCTCTGGGCCCTTAGTCAAAGGACACCACTGTCCCTTCCTGCCACCAGTATCCCCTCCCTCCCTAATCCCTATCACTTCTAAGTTCCTTAGAATGTCCAGTTCCTGCTGAACACTTGGCCTGTTGTGTTTAACCCCAAAACCGTTTTCCTAGCAGGTTGAGTCCATTCCCCCCTTCCACACCATGTGGACCTACAATGGGAATGACTGTTTGGCATTTGGGGAGAGACTTTATCTTTTGACCTGGTAGATTAATTTTCAGTGCCAATTCTATTCTTCCTCTGGTCCTGGGCATTCTGTTTTCCTTGAGAGAGTGAGTGATACAACTTGACATTGGGACTCGGTGCTCCTGCACTAAGTGAGGGAAAGATCCTTAAGAAGGACCCAAAGGGTATGCCCTATGACTTTGAAGAGGTCAGTGTTTCCTGATGCAGACTAAGCAGACTGGGTGGGGCTCTTTTGGAGTTACATATGGAAAGAGGAGGTTCCCAATTGGGGAGGTGGGCTTTGATGGTGAGAAGGGTCCTCCCTTTGCTCTGTTTGTCTCCTCAGCTGGGACTGGATGGGAAGGGCGCTCTGGGCCCCCTTGAGGATTGCCATTTCCCCTTTGTCTCCTTCAATAGAAGATCTGCCATTGAGTAGATGAACAACGAAGCTAACAGGAGAGAGACTCCCACTGACTGTTCTGGAATTGGGCTCAAGAATGCTTGGCTTTTCCAACCACCCTTTGATAAATAACTTTTGATTCTCAAGCTTCTAAAAAGTGTCCTTATTTGGGTTCTTCGACCTGGGGGACTTTTGTCTGGGGATGGTCTCTGACAATCTAAGTGTGGCATGTCTTCCAATGACAACTCCTAGGACTTGGGATGGTGGGGAGGGGGACACTCAAAACACTTAAAGTAGCCAGATAATGGAGGCAAGATTTATAGGCTAGTCTTTTTTTTTTTTTGTAAAATTTTATTTGTTTATTGGGGGGGGAAGGAGGGAGGGAAGCACAAGCAGAGGGAGGGGCAGAGGGAGAAGCAGGCTCCCCACTGAGCAAGGAAGGGGGAAGAGCACAAGCAGGGGGAGGGGCAGAGGGAGAAGCAGGCTCCCCACTAAGCAAGGAAGGGGGGAGAGCACAGGCAGGGGGAGGGGCAGAAGGAGAAGCAGGCTCCCCACTGAGCAAGAACCCAATGTGGGACTTGAGCCCAGGACCCTGGGATCATGACCTAAGCTGAAGGCAGACGCTTAATGGACTGAGCCACCCAGGCATCCCATAGGCTAGTCTTTCTTAGTCTTGGGTATTGTTGTTACCCTTTCACTCCAGCAGCCAGACAGCTCTTGAAAAACAATTATGAGTGAAATGTCTTTGAAGGGGCTTCCTAGTTTTTTTTTTTTTAAAGATTTTATTTATTTATTCATGAGAGACAGAGAGAGAGAGGCAGAGGGAGAAGCAGGCTCCCAAGGAGCAGAGTGCCCAATGCGGGACTCGATCCCAGGACCCTGGGATCATGACCTGAGCTGAAAGCAGACGCTTAACCATCTGAGCCACCCAGGCGCCCGGGGCTTCCTAGTTTTATTGATGTTTCTTTTGCTTCTTTTTGTTAAACAGATGGAGCTCAATTAGTGAATGAGTCTGGGGATTAGTTGGGGTCAGCCTGAACCTCTGGGCCCTTCCCCACCCAGGCCATCCTGAGTTCTGATGTAGGAATGACCGAATCTATTAACAGAATCTACTGCTAGAACTCTTTCTAAATTCTGGGTTGGAAGCTGGGAATGAATTTCAGGTTAGATCTTGGGTGCGAGGGAATTGGATCCCCAGTCTCTGCTGGGAGGGTGTAAAGAGTCCAGGACTTGCCCCTATCCACAGGGACAAGAATCTGTCATTTGTCCCTATTTCCCTGTTCTCCAAGTAGGGAACCATACTGGGATACTACTCTTGGCCTGACTCTACCTCTTATTCACTTTTCCCCAAAGGAAGGTTGTGTTCTCTGATAGAGACACAGGGAAGAGGGTCATTGTACACACACACACACACACACACACGCGTGTGTGTGTGCACACGGATGCACATGCACAGACACACAAATGCGTGCACACATGCGTGTTCTAAGCTCTCTTCTTTCTATTGTACCTTTTTGCCAGCAATGTGTATGCAGTCCATTCAGATCTAGCCTTCACCTAATAAGCACACCTGCTGAGACTCAGACCTGCCTTCCAGAGGCAGGTCTGAAGAGCACCTCTCTCTGTTTCCACTTTTGGAGCAGCCATGGCCCCTTGCAGCACTCCAGGTAAGTCTTGCCTTTGTATATTCTCCTTTGGGTGGGTAATCCCAATATCAGTAATTGGGAGTGATGAGACAGGCAAATGGTATTAGAAAGCCCAATTCTGGCCATAGATACAGCTTCATCAACAAAATGTTGATATTTTGATCTTCATTAGTCTGATTCCTAATCTATTACCCAGGTGGTTGAGAACTTAGAAGGGAAAGGATAAGATTAATTTTCTCCCTTAAGCCCCAACACATGCAAATATGCTTTGGCTGTATATCTTGAGAAATAGGCATTCTGATAGGAATTAGGGAACCAAAATAAGACGTGTGGAGATGGGACGTCTGGTGTGCCAGGGCACAGGTCTTTGGCACGTTAGTGATCTTGGACCATTCAGTTCTTTGGCCTTTTCAAGTCTTAGCAGCTTATAGTAACTAGCTTCCATACCCAAGCTACTTTTTTAGCGGTAACTGGACTGGTATGTTGACTCTGCAAAAGTAGGCTGCACAGGCCACTGTGGCTGATCTTGATTCATATAGATAGAGTTGAGATAGGCTTGCTGCAGAAGGGAGAAACACTTTTTTTTTTAAAGATTGATTTATTTGAGAGAGAGCACAGGGTGGGGCAGAGGGAGAAGGAGAATCCTGAAGCGGACTCCGCACTGAGCATGGAGCCTGAGGGGCTTGATCCTAGGACCTTGAGTTCATGACCTGAGCCGAAATCAAGAGTCAGACACTTAACCGACTGAGCCACCCAGGCGCCCCAGAGAAGCACTATTAACTGGAACAATTTGTGCTGCCTTTATTGTCCGCCAGAATTGTAGAAGAAGACTTTAAGGTGAATGGCACAAGTTCTGTTTGAACTTCAAAACACAAGTTTAGCAGATTCTGTCCCTAAAACTGTGCTGGGGATTAGCAGGTGGCATTAGATCAGTTTCACCCAATTTGGTTCCCTTTTATCCTTTTTTTTTTTTAAGGTTTTTATTTATTTATTTATTTGAGAGAGAGGGAGCATGAGCTGGAGAGGGGCAGAGTGGGGAGAGAGACGCAGACTCCCTGGAGAAGGGCAGAGAGGGGAGGGAGAAGCAGACTCCCTGCTGAGCAGGGAGCCCCACACAGAACTCCATCGCAGGAACAGGCTTCCTGTTCCCTGTTATCTTGATTTAAATTGCATCCTTTGTAGGACCAGGGAGAGACCTATGGGAGGGGCCAAGGTCTTTATTTCATAGGGGGTATCCAGAGTCACGGTCTATTTTTGTCCCAAGTTAGTGCCAGGTATGTTGACTATATAAGCCCTGACAGTGAAATTTCAGGGACTCAATCTGTGTTTTATTATCACAGAGGGATGCTGGATTTTAATCATAAATATAAAAAAGAGGACGGGCGCCTGGGTGGCTCCGTCGTTAAGCGTCTGACTTTGGCTCAGGTCATGATCCCAGCGTCCTGGGGTCAAGCCCCACATCAGGCTCCCTGCTCAGCAGGAGGCCTGCTTCTCCCTCTCCCACTCCCCCTGCTTGTGTTCCCTCTCTTGCTGTGTCTCTCTGTGTCAAATAATAAAATCTTTAAAATCTTTATATATATATAAAAGAGGATGCAAATGTTTGTTATATACGGGCTTGGGGTAGAGAGAAGCCATGCCATTATAACCCCAAAAAATAGGAAGAATATTTTTAAATAGTGTGCCTGGATTCTTCTTTCCTTAGGAATCAAGCCTTTTGAGGAAATAAAGTAGGAATCATATTTGTTTCAAATATGTTTAGATCTTGAAGTCAAAATGGAAGAGTGGGAGGGTGAAAAATGAATAAAGACAGGTAGATTGAACTGGAGGAAGGGAAGGATTTCTTTAGAAGAAAGGTTGTGGGGGCACTTGGGTGGCTCAGTCAGTTAAGTGTCTGCCTTCTGCTCGGGTCATGATCCCAGAGTCCTGGGATCAAGCCCAGGGTCGGGCTCCCTGCTGGCAGGAAGTCTGCTTCTCCCTCTCCCTCTGCCCCTCCCCCCTGCTCATGCAC